TGCTGGCATGGCATTTGTGAAGAAGGTACCCTCCTGCGTTGTTAGTGGGAATGTACACTAGTATAACCATTATAGAAACCAGTGTGATTTTTCAAAGAACTGAAATGAGAAATTCCATATGACCCAGAAATGTTCATACTAAATCATTATGCTAAAGTGATACATGCATACTAATCTTTATATCAGCATAATTTGTAATAGTGAAATCCTGGAATTAGTCTGCATATCCAACAACAGATGACTGAATAAAGAAAATGTATTTATATATAATGAAATACTACTTGACTACAAAGAATAAGATATTTGCATGAAAGTGGAGGCACCTTGAAAATATAATGTTGAGTAAAATTAAGCAGCCACATAAGCCTAAAATACTATATAGTATCTTTCATTTCAGTGAGGCAAAGTACAAACACAGAAAATGATAACGGATGGATGGAGAGGGCAAGGGGATCTCTTGCAACAGGGAAATAGTCCAAGGGAAGAAGGGTGAGGGGTGGGGGAGGAGGGAAAGGAGAAATAGAAGAATAAAGATGTATCATGAACAGGAGCCTAAAATCCCAGTTAATGTAGACATTATATGCCATAACATAAGGTATGACAAACAATATCAACAAGTGTAATGAACGAGATAGGAGAACCCAAGGAGGAGGGGAAAAGAGAAGGAAGGGGAAGAGGGATTAAAAAAAAATGAACTGCAGTACATGCATGTAACTACTCTCCAAGCTAACTATAAACTGCATGAATTGCAAACATGTACTAATACAATGAAAACATACATTAAAAAGTTCTGTTCCCTCCTATAGCAGAGCACTGTGGGCTGGAGACCAAGTCTTTAACACATAGGCCTTTGGGCCTTAGCCACCTCATAGCAGATGCTGATCTTCTGATTAAGCATCTGGGAGGATGGTGTGCAGAGGTTAGTTCCCTTCCTGGCTTAGTTTCCAACCTGACCTCTCTCAGTCCCTCCTTCTGATCTTCGAACCCTCCTGTAAGCCTTTCCTTTTTTTATCTAACTGCGCACTGGATCGTCCATTTACGCCAAACTTCCCAGTGGGTCACACATACCCATGACAGACACCTCCTTCCACTCGCCTTCCTACCAGGCAGACGCTGAATCATCTGTCAAGACACCTTTCCAGTATGACTTTGTTCCAGTGAACTATTTGGTCCAAAGCAGCTTTAGTTGAACCTTCTTTTGCTCTTCCGTAGTACCAGGATCTGCTTTAATTGGGAAACTTAGTAGTCTGGAATGATTAATTTGCAGCTCATCTTTACTTGTTGTCCCAGAAAGGACAAAGACTTCACCCCAGATGCATCACTCCACCCAGGTTTCTCAACAGCAGCAATACTGACATCTCACACTATGGGGGTGGGGGTATTAGCATGCACACTGGAGGATGTTTAGTAACATCCTGGCCTTTATCTACTAAATTCCAGCAGTACCCACCAGTGTGACATTCAAAAGTGCCTCTGAACATTGATCCATGTTCTTTGGGTACAAAATTGCCTTGGTTAAGAACCACAGTCCTAGGCCTAACAGAAACTGATAGATACTGGGTGATGGCTGAACAATAAATCAGTGCTCAAATTAAACAGTAAAAGGCTGAATGGATAAAAAAAGTAGCAAACTTATTGTAAGAAAAGTAAAAAAAAAAAATCCAACACATTATCATGGCTTCTATACACAAAGGAAATTGAAATCTTCAGCAAGCAAGTCTCTTTATAGATTGGCTCTATCTTCTTCGTGTCATTGTCTTGTACTTTGCTCTTGATCTATGAGCTCTTTCACGTTCTTATGCTTTATTTTTTCCCCATCAATCCAAACTCTGTGCTTTACTTCAAGACAAAGATTGACTTGTCTCCTTCATAAAGCCTTCCCCAATTCACTGGTATTCATTCATACATGAAGACATATGTGTTTACTTTTAGTTTTTGCCATATTATCTTTTTGTTTCCTGGGAGGGCTTACTCTTCCAAGTCTTTCTTCTCCTTAGTACCACTGCAAGTTTTATGAACAATAGATGTTTAGTTTTTGTTTGAGGTGTTTTCTTAAGACAACTGGCAAGTGTATTAAATCTGGAATTTGCATGGTCCTAACAGTTGAAGAGGCATAGGACTTACTCTTTAGTATTTCAAAGTTATTTTTTAAATAAACTCACTCATAAAAATATGAATAATAGTAATCTGCAAATGTTTTAGCATTTCTATGAGGAAGCAGTAAATACAAAAGCATTAGAAGACAGAAATGACTGCCTTTTGTTTTCAATTCTGGTTGTGTTCAAATGCCACTTAGTGTCTGTTCTCACTGCTTGCAAAACTGTGACAAAGTCCACCTTTGCTGTATTCTGTGCCCTCTAGACCCACAAGCACCCCTTGCTTTCCCACTTCTTTGGGCACAAACACAGGGTCTCCTGCCTGTGAACTTTCCCCAGTGCTTGGGTTTGGAAATTTCCCCTAAACTTCCGTTGTACAGGGCATCTTTTCAAGTTTTTCTTGGAAGCCTTCAGGCTTTCTCCACGTGTGCTCTCCCATGAGGTATCAGTGGCAGTTAAGGGGACAACCCCTAGAATTCACTGGCTTTGCCACTGAGCTCTCAGCTTGTAACAGGATAAACGGAGATACCAGAATGGGGCAGGGTGGGGAAAACATTTCTAGCATCACTAGTAATGTTGGCACCTCTTAATAGATGGAAGAAGGGTTTTGTCCCGTGGTCTGCATCTTTGACAGATCAGCCAGAGACTGCAGTCTCTGTTTCAAAGGTCCAGGTTCTCCATTTATTCCTGCTGTTCACCCTCTCCTCTATGCTGACCTTTTTTTCTATTTAAAATACAAAGCCTAAGCACCCTTCCTGGGTCCTCCGCCTCCTCCTGGCTTCCAGCTTCCTGATGTATCACCTCTTTGTCCTTGCCTCCCATTCAGACCTAACTCAGCACGGTCTGGCAGCTTCCAGTAACCCCTCACTTCTTAGAAGATACACTTTCTCAGGACTGGGGCCTCCCATTCTGCCACATATTATGGCTTTCTCGGTCCTCCACATCCTTGACTCTGTGCAGCCTTTGACACAGCTGCTCTGGGAAGCAGCCTTCTGGCTTAGCTTTTATCTCTTGAATTTTATTCTGTTCAGTGTTCTTTCTCAAATGCCTTCCTAGTCTCATGTCCACCATCTTCGGCTTTATTCTTTTTCCATTTATTTCTCCTCCTATAAATGACTTTAATATTGTTATGCAATCAAGTATCAAAGGAGTGACCACCAAATGCTTCCCTTTCTCAGTGTCTGACTCCAGGCCTCCTTGCTATCAAGCATCTCACATCATGTCCAAACCAAAGGCAGCTTCCTTCCTACGCCAGAACTCACTCTGCTACTGTCCTTTGGTCAGACTGTCTGGCTCAATGTAGAAACGGAATTTCTGTACTATTTAGAAATACTGCTGCTGATCAGATATTGAAATCTGTGGACTCTCACTCTTTTCATGCCAATAGGTGACCAAAATGGAATTCATTGCCCCAGTTCCCTTCCTGCCTTTGTTTACCCATGTGTTAGGACTTCTCTGCACAGGATCACCTGTCCCAAAAGTTCCTTGCCCACCGTGAACCTGTAATTCAAAGTTCCCCATGATGCCACGTGCTTTCAGAGTCCAATTTGTTACTACTTCACTGATTTGCAGGGAGTGACCCAGCTCCAGCACTAATGCAATCTAGCTGTGACATGTATTATGTACTTTTTATTCTCATAACTAGAAAGTCAAGGTCAAAGATCTTCTGAAGCATCCTTGGTCTCACAGCAGAAGTAATCACTACGTACTATGGCATCCAAAGCATCTCCTCTACAGTGGCACCATGCCACCAGGTGATAAGTTTTCATATCACCAGAGTTTAAGGAGCCCTTGGTCTACTGGGCAGTGAATGATGTTTTACATATCTGTCAACCAGTCATTCATCCATTCATCCATCCATCCATCTACTCAAGCTACCCACCTGTCTTTCCATAAACCTAGCTACCATGACTAAAATCTCCTCCATTGATTATATATTTGAAATAATATTAATTTCTATAAAGACATAGTACATATTGCAGGTTAAGTACATAATAGAGGCATCTTGGACCAGTCATTTCTTGACTGTTAAATTTTCAGTACTGGAGTCTATAATTTCTATGCTTTAGACATGCAGTAAATTTTGTTTAAAAATTTACAGGTCCAATAACATAGTAGCTGCTCAATATATGTTTTTAATGCTGAGACGCTCATAGAAGATACACTTAGATGTAGGTATATAGAAAATAAATCTTTCTCCCAATTTTTAAAATTTATTTAAAGGTTATCAGTGACATACATTTACGATAATCTCTATTTCACGAAGTATTTCCTGAAACAATTGTGCACGTATCAGCAGGCACAGAGCAGTTAGGGTCTAGCAGTGGCAGGCCAGCAGCCCTGCAGGAAGGCATCATAGGCTGTGCCCAAGACCTTTCCTGCTAGCACCAGTGGTGGGGAACCTATGGCATGTGTGTTACTGTGTTTTTAAAACAAAAGATATTAAGTGTATGAATTTTTTTTCTAAACTAAAACGTCAGAATTCAGGTTTAGTTACAGTGTTGGCACTTTGCAAAATATAAATGGGTTTTGGGTTGCAGAGTGGCACTTGCTCTCTAAAAGGTTCGCCATCACCAATGACACCTGTTCTGACCAGTCTTCATCAGTGGTATCAGCTTAATCTTTGAACTGTTATTTTCCAATTTCACAACTTCTTTGTATGCAGTCTCTCAATTTTCACCTGCTCAGGTGTACTACATTACTTTTCAACCCTATGACCCTAAAACATAAATGAAAGAGAACCTACCTGGGTGAGATGGTCTCAGTTAGACCAAACACCACACACATTTTCAAATTTTCCACGTAGGACCAAATTAGACACCGACCTTGATGTTACTGCTTGTTTCTTTTAACTGAATAAAACTGGCTTAAATCACAATAACTGTGACAATACAGGCATCTGTGTTTGCTTTAAAGTCTTTATTATCCTGAATATAAAAGACAGAAGTCCTCTAGGATATAACAGAGTTCTTTCTGTGGAAACATCATTTTTTTACAAGTGAAAAAATAAATACCTCTTGGAATAAAGGCTTATATGCTAATATGTGCCATAAAAAAGTAGAGTTTTAATATTTGACAAAATGTCTGTGCAAAGAAACAAATGCATAACACGTTACTGCTACATTAAGGCAATATGAAAAGTATACTCAGAAATCTCAGTAAAGTGACAGTGTAAGTTTCTAGCTTTATCTTAGCTAGTATTGCACCCGATAAGGTCATCCAGGTTTCCTGACATCCTAGAAAACCCGCTAACTGATCAGCTTCCAAAATGCCCAAGGAGGAGTGGATACAGGAACAAAAGAACCAAAACCCCTCTGAAAGACATAGAGGGGGCGACTGAAAGATTTAAGCATTTACACACATACACAGAACAAAAATGAGAAAAACTTGAAACACACAAAAAGAGGAAATGACACCTAGAAACCTATTATAAGGCTGTAAAAGGTTTGATCTTTCTGGCACCCGTGGTGGTGCTGGGGTCGAGTGCTTGGGAGAAGCAAAGAACGGCTGTCATGAGTGCATCCGGAGGTCCCATCCTCAGTGCTAGGCTCCCCCTTCCCAGGGCAACGCTCTCCCTTTTCATCTTAAAATATTCCACTAACTCACAAAAGCCCAAGACATGCTTGCCTACTGCTACTTTTGATCAAAAAGCATGGGGCATACGGAGAGGAAACGGGAAAAGGAATAGGAAGCTCCCCGTTGGATTAGCTGCTTCTTCCTACCAAGAATGATTTAAATCTGATGGACAGCATCATGGCCAACCTTTCAAAATCGGTTTTTTTGTTTTGTGGACACAAGGTCTTGTTAAACTGTCCAAGTTGGGCTTTAACTCTCCATCCTCCAGTCTGAGCCTCCCAAAGCTGAGATTACAGGTGGATGCCACCACCACAGAACCGACTTTAAAATCTTTTTGTGTTCCAAGCATTCTTGAACAAGTTATAAAAACAGAAATGACATGAGAATGACAACTACTTAAGAAAACTGTTTTCTATTACAAATGCTCCGTGCTCCATGGCCATACAAAAAAGAACCAAGTAAATTCCTAAAACTACTTCTTATAAAATCTGTGGCAGGTAAGAGACTTACCTCGGAGACTTAGAACACCATTTCCTATAACGGTGTACCCACTTTTTGGCTATGTTGCCCCTTAACTGACAAATATTTTACCTGTTCCTTTATTTGATCAAGAAAAAAAATCAAAGTCCAAGGAATGTGTCTGTGCCCGGCTCCTCCTTGTTCCCCGCACTGGGCTTGTTGTTTCTATGCATGGATGTGTTTCTGCAGTGAGGAGGAGCTGGAGTCTTGATTTTCTTCTTTTTTTCCTGTGTGTTTTAAAGGTTGCATGGCAGATGGGTGTTGGGAGTGAAATTATTTTTGCCACAAAATTACCATTCTTATAGTTTACAATAGTGCAGTTCGTGGAAACATGGCATGTCCCACCAATGCAGGACAGATGAGTCAGATGACAGTCAGATTGAGAAGACTGGTGTGAGTTGGCAGATAGACATGCTGGACGTGTTCCACGCGAGACCGGCAGACTGGGCACGACTGCAAGAGAGAAGCCAACAGAGCTGGTTAGGACGGCTCTGCAGGCCCTGGGTGGCGGTGTTTACCCCTGGTATGAATTTTCTAAATAAGCTGAGATCGCAATGACTTCTAAGCTTTCCATTGGCAGAGATCTTTCCTCTCTGTTTACTTTATAAAGGCCTCAAGATATGTATGAAAATGCATATACTGAAGTGAAGCGGGCTTTCTGTGAAGCTCTTAGCAAGGCACAGTGAGGAAAATGATTCCTGCAGGACTCTTTCTGAGTAGGCTGTGGCCCCACAAGAGTAGATTGTGACATCTCAAATCACCTTGCAGGAGACCCTTCCAGAGACGGTGCGGCTTTGGCTCAGATGGCTAAGGTAGAGGCCCATGTGGCCTGAGTATGGTTCTGTTCCCACTCAGGGGCAACAGGCTTGCTCTCTGGTGGCTTCTCAGCAAGCACATGCTCCTTGTTAGCCACAATAAAGGCCTGAGGCACAAGGGCAGAACAGGAGGCCAAAAAGAGGCCAGTCTGAGCCTGTTCCCAGGGAAATCACTCCTTGAGGTGGCATGATCAACTCTCAGGAAGGACATGGGTGGCCTGGGTGCACATCCTCCAGCTCTAAGAGCAGCTGTAAGATCAGCAGTGTCTGAAGGACTGGGTGACATTTAGTGTTAGCTTTGGTTTCATATAAACCACAGTGACTTAGCACATGCTTCTGAGAAATGAAACCGAATGAAAATACATCACTGGAACAGTAAATATGAAAAAAAAAAACAACCTGCTATCATTATGTTCTCTATTAAGATTAATTTAACTTGCTAATCAGTAGCAACCAATCCAAGAAGCCATTAGAGACGTTTATAGTTATAAAAAGAAATTAGTAATAAATAATCAAAGTAAGCGATCCACCATGGCAACTAAGTTAATTATAACCCCCAAAGCACAGTATTCTTTCCCTAGTACTTTAGGCAAATACTAAAACATTCCCCCTACCATCAGGAATAAGAGGCAACATGAAATGGCAGAAGCAGGCCTGGGTTCTAGCCCTGGGTTTAGTCGCTGACTATGTGGACTGCATGAATCTGGACCTCGTTTCTAGAACTTGAAAACATGTCTAGGCTTCAGAGCGACGATGCTGGGAAGACAGCACGCTCATCCAAAACTGTTTCCAAAGGGCCACCAAACCCAAAGCCCTCCCCAGAAGAGATGGGCACTCCCTGTGCATTGGCCACCCAGGGCACCCAGCCACTGCTGCCTGGAGGGTGACAGCGGGCCAGGCGGCCCCTCACCTGCAGCTGGGCCGCGCAGCTCTCGCAGCACACGGTGTGGCCGCAAGGGCAGAAGGTGGAGTTGATCTCCTCCTCGCAGCACACCATGCACAGCATGGCTTCCTTCAGCTTGCGCAGCTTCTCCTGCAGGGCCCGGGTCTGCTGGCAGCTCAGGCCCTCGCAGCTTCGGCAGTTCATGCTGCTCCCGGAGGACTTGAGCGGGGAGCCGGGCGGGCTCTGGCCGCTCCTGGAGACGAGGTCCAGCACGCCGGCATTGTACAGAGCCCTCCTGGCGTGGTCATACACCTCCTTTGATGTTCTTTTAATATCGAAGACGTACTTCTTGCCGAGGTTGATGTTTTCATTCAGAAAGAGAGAAGCCAAATGGCCTTTTAAGTCACGACTATACTGCATCATGACGGCGCTGGTCACCGTATCACACCTGCAAGGCAAGTTTGCACACATGCTTTAAGAGGGTGGGGAACTTGGTAAATCGGAATTGCAGGCCCTGCCTCAGTGCGAACACACACGTGTCCTGGGGGAAGTTCTCCCTGCATTGCATGTTAAGCAGCTCAGCATTCTCAAGGGTTTCCAAAGTGCCTGCAGTGAGGCAGTGCGAATGCACAGCCAGAGGACACCTCGCTCCTCTCCCAGGCTATGAGATGCAGGCCCGAACAGCTTGAGGAAGAAAATAAAGGAAATTCCTTTTTGAAGACTTAGCTTTTATGTTAAAAATGTCTACAAATTTTCCATTCTGCTCCACAATCTGTGTGTCTATTTTAAAAGTGAAAAAAAAAAAAAAAAAAGACTGCCTACCAATTAAATTTCTTGGCCTTAATTTTCCAAATATTTGAATCCAATCACAGTTCATCTTGAAAGCACTCTCTGGGATAAGGGACTGATAGTGTTAATAAAAACTCCTTAGGTTGGTAGTGAGGATTGGGGACAGGTTTTCTCGTAGAAGGGAAAGCCAACCTGTGTCACCCAGCCAGAAAAGAGTACAAGCAAAACAAGAGCCTGCCCCCATGGCCAGGGTCATCTTGGGGGAGTGGGCGATGTGAGAAAATAAGGCAAAGGAGCAGCCAGGGCGCGTGTGCGGCTGGTACATTCGTGCACTCTGTGGGGAAAAGGGACCGTGTCACATGGACATGCCATCCCTACGGAACAAAAGGTTTAAGAGCAGCCTGAGTCTTACATTCTACACAAGACCCACTGACATCATAGTAGAAGAAATCATAAAAGCCTGCTTGTCACCCAAAACTTTTAGCACTGCGACACTAAGGTACGTACCTATAGAAAGCATGTGTTTCGGTGATGGCTCGGTAGAGCCCGCTGGCTGCCCTGGTGCTGATCATTTTAAACAAGAGCACGATGCTGTTCCCAGACTCCTTGGTGATGGTCAAGTACACGTTCTTTCCTGACTGGGTGGCCATCTGCACCACGGGGTAAGCTATCCTAAAAGACGGGAAGAGAAAAAATAAGCCAGTCCGGCAGAAGCATTCTGTTGCGACATTCCTCAATGAAACTCAGCAGTAACCCAGACACTTAGCCCAGCCTGTGCTACCCTGACACTGAAAAGCAGCTGTGTATGTGCAGAGAGAAGCCTGGGACCAAGTTCAGAGCACGTGAAGATGAGCGTGCAGAGGTCAGAAGGAGAATTTTACGGCCGTGAACAACTTATTCAAAACATTTTGTCACACTGGTTAACATTAGCACTTGAAAAACAATTGCATGGGGATTAAGGCCTGAGTAAAATTAATGTGAATTCAAAATGAAACATGGTATTCCTGTGAGATGAACGTCTCCTGAACCCCCCTCCATTCTGCTGTTTTCACAGTGAGAACTTCAGGCAGGTACACATGCTTAGCCCTAAGAGGACTCAAGCTTGGGTTACCTATTAATCGGGCTAAAGTCATCTTTACAGATGGAGATCCCTTCGGGCCCGACCCCAATGAGCAGCTTCTGGCCCTCGCTGTCCCGCACGGCGTGCCACTCGACGCCGTAGTTCTCCATTGCTGACACGAGCTGCAGCACCTGGTACTCAGCCGAGGCCTGGCTGGTCCCCTCCAACTCCTTATGCTTTGCAACGATGCTGCAGGACACCAGGAGAGTACAGAGACAGACGCAGAGATTAATTCACAGGCTTTAGACATTAATCTATCTAATTTTCAACAGAGAAGTATGATGATGTTGTCTTTTATGAATCACAAAAGCAAAAAACCTCATGTTACTAATGTTCCACTTATTTAGCAAACTACTGTAAGACACTTATAAGATACTCTTCAAGATCTTGATTATCAATATTCAAAAGGGAACACTTTTGGGGATGCTGGCTGGTGATAAAAAATTTTGAAAAATCTCAAAATATATATGTAAGACAAATTGATACACTGGAACTCTGCATATGTTATCAATATGTATGTGATATGTCTCATTATAACCTAGCATAGTCAATAACTTGTTGGATCTGAAGGAAGTTTATTTGCTCTACTGTGAAGGATGAGCTCTCATGTGGCTCTTGGGGCCCCACCCATGGTTATCCTTTGGAATGTCCTTTGGAAGTTCCTTTCTTTGCGTGGGAGCTGGATTAGTGACTTGTTTCTATGGAGAGAATATGGGACAGGTCATAGGATGTGATTCATTTCTGAGATTAAGTTTCAGAAGAGTCTGGCTTCCTTCTTGGCTTTTAGCTTTTGCTCTGAGTTAGACCAGTCATCTTGGGGGAAGTTGGCTACCACAGCATGGAACGGTTCGTGTGGTAAGGGAAGTGGGTGGCCAACGGACCCCAGGGATCGTACTGCCTGTGGGTTCCTCTCTTGGCTGAAACTGAAGTCTAGCAGCTTGACAGCAGTCTCCTGGGAGATCCTAAGAGGAAACCCACAAAGCTGGGGCCAATTCACAGCAGAGTCTCAGCCACAAGAGGAGGCCTGTTATTATAAGCCGAGTTTTGGGGTAGTTTGTTATATAGGAATAGATAACTGAATGTCTGTATTAGGCCTCCTGATTTAATTCTTGCTGGCATGAAGAAAACATCAGTATACTTTTTATTGTAAGACTTTTATTGTCTTAGGACATGTGCATTTTTATTCTCATTTTGTGAGAATTTCATATTATTTCATATAAGGTATGCATTTGTATGGTCTATGTTCTGTGTTTATACATTCCTCAAAAGACTACCAAATACTTGGATAATAACTGGTTACACTGGGCCATGGCCTGGCCCTGACATCTTGGATCATCCCTAGATACCAGGGGCTTACTTTCCTCTGGAGGTTCCTGCCACACCAAAGGCTTTGTGAGCGCTCTCACTAGGCGAGCCGCCACCTCACCTGTTCAAGACAGCGCTGGAGAGCTCCTTCGCACATAGCTCCTCGTAGCTGTACTTGGCAGTGTTCTGGTTATAGTCCCCAAACTTGGTCTGGGCCAGGAGGGCACTGAGCTCCACGGCCTGCTCTGGGGAGCACTGGAGGTGGCCGGCCAGCAGAGACTCCTTGATGTGCAGGAAAAAGATATGTCTGCAAGGAGAGCAGGAAGAAGGTTAGGCTCAGGGATAAGGGAGTCCCAATCTGAGCCTGGTGGGTTGGGGCAGCTCAGTGGTAAAGTTGCCTTCCAAGGACAAGGTTTTAAGTTTGACTGCAACACTGCAATAAACAACCTGTCTAGAGCTTTCACAATCGAGTACTTTCCTTTCAAATAAGGAAAAGAGAGCAATTTTAAAAGTCATGCTGAATATGCTTGCCATTCTAGAACCCTTTTTATCAGGAGCACGCAGGCAGACATGTCTAAGAACTAAGTTTCACTGTAGTGAACATTACAAACAAAACACATCTACCGAAAACAAGTTCAGTAGCAATGGGGTCACAAGATATAAACTAATTATACCCAAGCTTTTGTGTTATGTTTTAAAACAAATCTCCTTAATCAGAAATACTATCTTGGGTAGATTCTGATACAATGTTAAACAGCTCCATCAGCCAGCATCTATCTCCTCTGTCTACCTTGCAGCTCTCAACTGTCTGAGTTGATGCATCCTCAAGGCACCGCTCTCCCGAAGACCCTGCAAGGGACTCTCCAAGTTGTTTACTTCTGGCACAAATACACTGCTTCTTTCTGCTCAAATCCTCCTGGATGAGGATGCATGATGGCAGCATGAAACCCCGGCTTTTCCTCCATTCGGCTCCAGCTTTTCAGCTTCATCTCTAGCCATGACCTCCAGCCACTCTGCCCCAGGACAGACACCAGGCCTGCCCTTGGAAAATCTGCTCGCGCTGTTCCCTTTGTCCTGATGAGCATTCTTCCTGTCCTCTCACTTGGATACCATTTGGTCTATGTCACAGGCAAACCATCCACTCCGCTATTGTATGTGATGTGGTGAACTGCTAGGATGGTTTAGCTAACTGCATAAGCACCTCTAACATCAGAGAGCTCCATAAATGTACAGAAAACTGCACAGATCTATCATTGATTATTGATTAATTGTTTTACTGGGGATGGAATCTAGGGCCTTCATACCCACCTCTTTTTAATTTTTTGAGATAGGGTCTTAATAATTCGCCCAGGCTGGGTTCTAAATTGTAATCTTTTTGCCTCTCAGCCTTCCAGAGTGCTGAGATTTAGGCATGATTCTTTTATAGTCCAACCTTAGCTTAGGTCTGTATGAGGCTGTCTTAACTGTATACAGTACTGTATTTTACATTTACTAAAAGGCAAGTCACATTTAAAAACTCCTGGGGAAATTCAAATATTGTCCATAATGCTGAAAATTCTAAAAAGAATAAGACACTATACCACACAGGGTCTATGTAATAAAATTTGTCTCTAGGAAATGTGGAGCTTTAATTTTCCTTTGATGGCTTGTGGTAGCCTCTTGAAGATGCTTAAATGTCACAATGCTCCTATTAATAAATGAAGGACAGCTTTGGGAAATGCTCTGAACACAGTGAATTCAGCTCCCCATTTTCATTAAGTATGACGTCATTACTCCAGCCTAACACTGTGTCTATCTAAACCCCACACCTGTGTCTGCCAGCCCAGGTAGGGGGAGTGGCAGGAGCAATGCAGGAAAGGGACGTAGGGGAAAGCAAGGCAATAAATACAACCACAGACTACATTGAGAGTCCTAAAATAACAGGATGACAAGAGCCATTCATCTTCTTGAACCAAGAAGTACTCAAATTCAATCTTTTGTGCCTTCAATAACGATACCAAAGTAGTATTCAAAACTATCAAATTCTGCCAAATATTAGTTTTCTCCTTATTCAAAGCACCCATAAAGAAATCAAGAGTAAGAATGTACAACACCAGTGAAAGAGGATAAACATGGTTTTTATTAACCCAAACATCTGTTAGTCTTTAAAATGTTTCTGACATACTGCTAAACTGAGAAGGGGCCCCTGCTGGGGCAAAGAAATCACCACAAAAACAACTGGCTTGAAAAATAGATCTCAGGGCACAGGGCCAGGATTCACAGAAAACCCTGGTGTCACAGAGTGGCCTTAACCCTCAAGGGCATTTCAAATGGTCATTTGGCGGGTTTCATCTTGTTGACCATCTATAAAGCATCTCTGAGGGAAGAAGTATTCCTGTTTTTAGGAAACTAAAATCCTAATTTATGCTTACATCCAAGAAGAAATTATGTGCCAAAAGATTTTTAAGATTACCATCAAATTTTCAATTTAATTACTGCTTATGTAAAGGTTTCTTTTTTCACTTATGTTCTTGGAATGAGGTCGGAGACTATTTTCTGTTTTATTAAATAGTGGGTGTAGTCTGCAAAAGAAGTCTTTCAAAATTGATTCAATTTCTTTTTTTCAAAATTCCTCATGCCTATTTCTGCAGAGACAGCTGTTAAAATGAAAGGTAAGAAGCAAAGACCAAATACAAACAGGTGGTCAGCAGCCAGAGAACAGTGCAGTCCCTGCACGTGGGTCAGAGTTGGGAAAAAATAATGTGGTGGCAGGGGTGGAGGGGCAGGGAGTAGCCTTTCCTACAGTCTGGCTGCACCGCCCACTGTACCTGCTGCTGAGGTAAACGTATGACAGGTCCTCCCTGCCTTGTGCGGCTTCATGGTTATGAGACCATTTTGGTTTTAAATCAATAAAGATTTTTTCCTGCATTTATCTTTGTGCCCAACTCCACACTGGGACTCGGGGGTGGCCTGGTTTGATAGTTCCTCTTCACATGGAACTCACAGCCTTTTACGGCGAAGGAACACGTCCCACCAAAGCAACTCCAGTCACAAACTGGCTTCTGGGGGACAACGGTTTGTGCTTGTGGGGAGCAGTGCAAGGCCGCAGTGGCAGCTCAGGTCACCAGCTGTGATGATCTATCTGTTGGTAGACCTTGATGTGTTCCTTCCAGGAGGGGAGATGGCAGCGCGCTGAGACATATTTGCGACGGGGGATTCCCCAAGGGCACACTACTCTGATGAGCGGGTTTGAGTCAGTATTTGCTTCTAACATTTTTCCTTCTAACCATATGACCTGTAACTGTATGTCTGGCTTCTGGATTTTGCCTTCTCCTTTTTTTATGAAGTGGGTGAAAGGTTACCAGCAACATCAAAACAAGCAGACAGAGTCAAGAAGTCATGCCTACAGTAAAATTTTTTAACTAAAGATCAAAAGTGGATGGCAAATCTAACTCAAGATAGGCTACATCTCAGAATCACAAAGAGAGACTTTGGGGGGAAGAATCTGTTTTCTTTGCCTTAAGCAAGTATCTGTGAATATGTTGTATGGATATAAGCTCAAACTGCCATTTTCTAAACAGTCTGGGGCCTGTACTTTGCAATTCATTAAGTTTCACCCAGTTACTAAGAAAATGGATCCTTTCAATATATGGGCCATGTTTGGAGGCCCATAGTGAAACATTCTAGCTAACCTGTGCCCTGGTGTTATATGAGTAAGTGAATTCACACCTAATGTAACACTGTGGATGTTTTCAAGGATAGGCCAAAATTTAATTTTAAAAAAGAGCCACATACTAATATACTTTTATTTCCAAGTACTTCAAATTTCTATGTTTTAAAATTTAATGCCTTTCAATAGTGTTAACAAATGAAGTTAAATCACTAAAGAGTTTGTAGTCAAGAGAACTCACCCCTGGACCATGATCCATCCCATAGGGCAATCCTCTAGTGCCCACGACACAGCTTTCTGTGGACCCCTCCAAGCTGCGGATCCGCTCACTATGGAGGTCACTCTTGCTTATACCCTCTAGTTATCTCACCAGTTATACCATTTTGAAGAGCTTTTCAGGACAGATGTAAAGCATACCCACATTTGCAATTACACTTAACATGTAAGTTATCAAACTAAAACATTTGTAGAAGGGCTAAGTACTATTTCTGAAACCTCTCCTGACCCCTTCCCTAAAAGGCACTTGGAGCCTGGCTCTTGGGAGTGTGGTCCGGTCCACCCCTCACCGAAATCAGACCCTGCTGCAATCCCACCTCGCATGCCTCCCTCCAGAGAGCTACTCAACTACACTGGTTTACTTTAACTGAAATTCCACTGCCAAGTTATATTTTCAAAGCATCAAATTGAAACAGAATTGCTCTGGGTTTTTTCTTTCATATTTAAACTTCTAGTGAAACAAATCAGTTCAAGATGGCCTACACGTAAATGCTAAAACTGTAATGTAACACTTTATATCCTAGATATAATAGTATCTTTAAAACTAGGGAATAGCAAAGGTTTCTCAGGAGCAAGTCAGCAAAAATCACAAAAGAAAACACTGGGTAAAACGGTTTCCCAGGATGCAGTCAACAAAAATCACAAAAGGGAAAAAACATGGATAAATTAGACTTCACCAAAATTAAAAACTCCCACTCACCAAAAGGCATCACAAAATAGACAAGCCACAGTAGGAAATACATTTACAAAACTCGTCTCATACAAATACTGGTATCTAGGATACACGAAGAATTTGTTTAGAATAAAAATGTATAAATGACTTGAATAGATACCTTTCAAAAGAAGATTTATGAAAGGCCAATAAACACACACAAAAAAGATTAACATTATGAATTACCGGAGAAATGCAAATTAAAAGTCCAACACTCTACCATGTATACCCACCCTGAAGGCCAATGGGGATTTGAGGGAAATTAACTCTCTTGTTTCTTCATAGGAGAACAGACGGGTACAACTGCTTTCTAAAGTCTGACAATTACTTGTAAAATAAACAACTGCCTACTCTATGACCCAACTGTTCTACTCAAGAGAAAGGAAAAAAAGGACTTATATGTTCACAGCAGCTTTATTCATGGGAAACAGGTGTTTGTGAACAGGAATAGGGGTCAACAAATGGTGGTAATGGCCATACAGTGGGATAGTTCCAGCCATAAAGGAAGAAACCACCACCAATACACGATGGCATGGGTGGATCTCAAAATATTTATGATGGACAAAAGAAGGCAGACACAGAGTACCAACTGCAACAAAGCTAGAGCAGAAAATACGCAGAAAGGGATTAGAGTGGGGAAGACCGGTGGAGATGCGCGGCACCAGGGACA